TTGGTGCAATGACTAAGTTATTTTTGCTTGGAGTAAGTTCAATAGAAATTTTTCCTGCCCAGTTTGGTAAGTATCTTAAGAACCTAAAGATGAGGAAAGATGACAAAGGAACTCTAAGTTTCAGTTTTACTTTGGTTACTGCTGCTGCAGTTTGTCCAGAAAGGTCAACATAAACTCCTGGAACGTTAGGGTCAAGTCTTCTTATTTTCTCAATAGTTGCATACTGGTCTGTTTGTTCTCTAGCTTGTGGTTGTACTGAGTTTCTCAAAGCGAACCATTCATAGTTTGCCCATGTTACTGTTTGAACTAAGTCAGAGTTAGAATATATCTTATATCCCATGAAAACTTCTGGAGCATATTGGTATCCGACATAGAAAATTCCATTGCAACCTTTCTTGTCAGACAACTTGGCAGAAGGTTTTATTTCAATGTCTTGTTCCACGTATAAGAATGAGTTGTCAATAGAAATAATATGAAACCTGTCGCAAGCAATATCTACTGTGGTTGAAGAACCTTCTCCAAACTCACCTACGTTTCCATAAGAAACAGCAGTTGTATATTCGTAAGTTCCAGGAACTATTTCTGACCTTCTAATGGCATTGTCGCATTCGTTATACCATTCAGAAACATTTCCGTTCATGGCATCCAAAACTGTTGGCGTTTATTCTGAGCGGCGTACATTTCATATGGGTAAAAATATAGAATAGTTGGATTTATATGTCATAATAGAACCCACTCGGACCAAGCTTTACTTTCTTCCTGACTGAGTTTTTAACTGAATCTTTAACTCTTCTTTTTTCCTTCATTGCCACTACTTTCACTAGATGAGTTACTTCTTCACTACTTTCACTTTGTTCTACTCTTCTCTTCTTCTTTGGTGTCGCTTTTGGTAACTTGCCCTCTGCTTCAAGTTGTAGCATCTTTGCCTCATGTTCACCTAGTATGTTGTAAATTTCCCATGTCCTTTTTGCCTTTGGGCTCTGGTCGCCCATCTAGGTAACCTATATCCTAGAAAGATTTTGTCATAGTTTGTATTTGAGTCTTCGCGTATTGTTTGCATGACTTTCCTGAGTTTCCGGTTCAAGCTCTTCAAATATAGCTTGTCCATATGGAATAAGCTCGTTATCCAAATATATGTTTTTGTAGCCATTCTGGTTTTCTTTCCATGTAACCAATAATATCTTTTGTGAATGGGAAAGCTTTTACCCAACGTTTCAGTCTTGCGTCGTTTATTTCTGTATTGGTTTTATTTTGTCATGGAACATGTTTTTCAATACTAACATTTCATTTGGTACTGTCCATTTGAGTTTTCTTAAATATTCATCCTTCTCAGTTCATTGTCTGCAAAGTAAGTTTTTATGACATTTTGCAAACTTTCGTTTGCAAGGTCATGTACAATAGGTTCTCTTCCTTCTCTCTCCCTAACTCTCTTTCTAAACTCTTCACCAAATATACCATCTCTATGGTTCTGTGTAGTTCTTTGAGATAAATGTTCTAGAACGTCAGGTGTTATATTTCCCAGCCATGTTCATTTCATACCGGTCCAAAATATCTGCATCTTTCATATCTTTCAATGGCATTAAAGCCGCGCTGAAAATACCAGTTATATCTGGTTCACCATTCAATTCCATTGCGTCTACAACTTCTTGGAATTGAGGTTGTAAGTTTATGAACCACCTATCCGGATTAGCTTTATGACCCCATCTCATTGTAGTTCCATAGTCTGCAGAAACAAAAGTAGGTTTGTTTCCATATTGGTTAGGTTCTGAATGAACTTTAAACAATGTTTCATTTCTATATGTTTTGTTGAAATTTAACCTTTTATTTTCACCGAGTTCAGCCAAAGATTGAACGTTATAGGTCGTAAGTAAAAAGGATTATTGTATTTGCGTACATTTTCTTTCAGTACTTCCATTCTATGCTGAATATTTTCATCTGATGTTGGAGTCTTTTGTATGTCGGTGAACATTTTTCGATATCCTTCTACTATGTCAGCCGAATTTTTCTTAGACTCTTGAAAGATTCCATATTCTCCTCATACTCTTGTTGAGGGTCAAGATTTTTCGGCTGTTCCAAATCTTCATCTAGTTCTGTGAAGTTAGTTTCCAAAGGAGGGACTTGTTCGTTTCCTTCAGGCTCTTCTAGCTGTTGTTGCTGAACTATTTCTTCCATGTCTGGTTGTATCTGAACTTCTTCCTGTGGAGTTTCTTGTACCTCATCTGGTGGCATTTCATATATTCCGAGACCATTTTTAACAAGTTCCCTATCTAAGTCATCCGGACTCATAAACCTTTCTTCTTTCGTTCCGTCTCTATTTTTTACGCGTTTCATGAAGAGAGTTGAATTATCATTTAGCTCTGACATCAAATATCTCGGAGTAAATTCATTCATGTCATTTGGATGATATGCTATTAAATCATATCCCTTTGCGAGCTTGTATTTTCCAGGTTTGAGATTATATCCGATTTTATGCTGAACCATAAAGCTAAATAGGTTCGGGTCAGTATTTCCTTCCTTGAACTTTCTAATAGCTTCTTTATATCTGTCACTAAAGTCAAGAGTATCTGGGTAACCATAATCTTCCTTAAGCATTTTTAAGAATTCTTGGTTTCCTTTTTCTCTACTTCTTTTATGTCCTTGCTCTGTTTGTGGTTGCTGTGCAGGGTTTTGAACTGTTGGTTGCTGTGCTGGATTTTGAACTGTTGGTTGTTGTTGCTGTGCTGGATTTTGAACTGTTGGTTGTTGTTGTGGTGCATGCCTGTGTCTGTGTCCATGTGACGATGTAAATGTTTTAGGTAGTCCTGGTGCAGGTGCTTCTCTTGGAGGGTTTGGTGGTATATAAGTTCCACCAGCTGGCACATATGTTCCATCTGCAGCATAATGTCCTACCTGACTTTTCATTTTTAAGAAAGCATTTACTAGGTCTGTTTTGGTCTGTTGTAACTCTTTTTCTTGACTTTCCACAACAGCTGCTCTAACGGCGTCATAGGCACTTTGAACTGCCTGTCTCGTTGCTGCATCTGTTATTTTCGTCATATTTTGTGCTACTTCTCTTAACTCTTTGTCGAAACCTTCAGACTTCAGTTTCTTTCCAGATGAGAAGTCGTTCACTAGTTTCACCTTACTATGAAGAGCTTCGAAGGCATTCTTAAAGTCAGCATTCATTAAAGCTTCATTTGAACTGTCTTCATCCGCTTGTATTTTTGTCCTTATTGACCCTATAAGTTGGGCTGCTTTAGCGTTGGCTTGAGCATCTAACCAGTCATTATTAGCTTTTATAATATCTGCGCTTTTCATTGCCTTTTGCATGGCTGCGTCGTTATTTTTACTTTCTTGTGCTAAGTTTTCATACTGCACGGTTTGGTTTTGCAACTGTAAAAGTTTTTCTGCCTTTACATTTGCTTCAACTTCTTTTTTATACTCATCGCTATCCATATATGTCTTCATGGCTTTTTGTTTTATCTCTTCATCTTTCAGTACTTTATATTGAGTAGTATGGTTTTTCAAATTTATAACATCTTGTTCCATTTTTGCTACTTCTGCTGCTTTTTCTGACACTTTTTTCGCATATTCCTCTGTACTTAGTTCTTTCGGTTGTTCTTCTTTCTTCTTTTTCTCTACGTTTAACTCATTTAGTTTCTTTGTCTGTCTGTCATATTCTAGTTTCTTTTCGTTTTCACTTATTTGTTTCTGTATGTCTATGTTTGACTTTTTGACATCTGTTATTTGATTTTTGAGTGAACTCAAATTCATTTGACTTTGAGGGTTATAAGCTGTTCTGTCTGCAGCTCCACCATAGCCTGCCATTTTCGCTAAAAGTGCCGCTCTTAAACCTCCACTCTGTGCACCAATAACTCGGTTTAAAAGCATAGGGTTGCTTGACATTTGTTGCAACATAGTGGGGTCATTCATCATTTGTTGTTGCAACTGTTGTTGTGGTGTCAGTTTTACTATTGGATGTTTCAATGCTCCCTTCCTCTTACGTATATTCTTACGTAGCTTACGTGGCATTTTAAGTGAAGTTAAAAAGCGGTTTTTGACAGATGTTTATATGACACTTTTTGTTCAGCACAAAAAACTACTCGGTCAAAGTGTTGTCAGTTTTGTAAAATAACCGTCTTATCTCATTCTATAAGGGAGAAAAGGCTTCTCAAAGTATACTTCCTTGGAACGCCTGTAACTTTTCCTGTAGCGACGATAGACCCTTACTTGTCCGGACAAAGTTATACTATTTTGAGTGCTCTACAAAAAAGTCAACGGCGACGACTCTCAAAAACCGTTGTGTAAAAAGTTTTACCGTTGGACAAAAAAGTATATATAGAAAACAAAAAACGTTTATAGTTCATTCAATATTTGAGATAAACCGTTTTTCCAACGGTAACTATTAAATAAAATAAAAAATAGAGGGGGTTACTGTTGACGAAAACGGTTTATCTCAAATATTTAAATATCTGTCTTTTTTGGTCAGTTCATTTTTATCTAATGGAAGCCAACGCTGTTAACCACAATTCAAACATTAACAATTCTCAACCGCTAACCAAAGCCAAAGCCCCACTCACCTTAATATAATATCTTTACATCTACTCTTATTTTCAAAGAACGGTAACGGTGGTTTTGTAAAATTCATTTATATATAATAATAAAAATGTTTTTACCCGAAAAGTGACAGAAAAGTGACAAAACATGAAAACATATATAATTTGTGAAAAGCGACGCATTATATAATGTTTTCGACCCAGAAGAAGGCTTCTTCCCAGAAGCAATGGAGGAGGAAGAAGAGGAGGAGGAAATACAAGACTCTATCCAAGAAGAGTCCTCCGAATTCACACCAGAAGACTAACAATTTTCCGAATAAAAACTTCATTTATACTAAACATCTTCGGGGCTAGAGGGCGCAACGCGCCTGGAAGCCCCACTCACCTGACCTAATTGGGTTTATATTCTTTGTATGATTAATGAATTTTGATAAAAAACAGTAGGACATACTTTCATTTTTCAAAATGAGTTTGATAATTGTCGGTGATGATGGTCGTTTAAAGACAGTTAGAGAGCATAAAGTTCCACAAAGTATAATAGATCTTGCAGAATGTGGTAGAGCTCTATGGGATGTCGAGAAATACACAGCTGAAGAATATTTCACCAAAATCGACGAATATATTAAGAAAAATGTTTTTCCAGCCCAAACACTATTTAACCAGATATCAGAGATTTCTCAGGTTCGTGAAAAATGTTACAAGAAGCTTGGCACCGTATACAAATTATTTGTTGCCAATTATCCTAATCTTAAGGTCAATCCAAATACCAACCCATATCTTTGTTACTATATACGTGATTCTGGAATTCAAATTCCGAAAAACATTACAGATCAATTCCAGCATCTCAATGACGAGCTAGCAGACCAAGTTTATCCAAAAGGTACGATGAATCATGCTTTACTATGGGATGATGTTGAAGAATTCAAGCAATCAGTGATAGATCTACAAAATAAAATTGCTGCCCAAAATAAGAAATCTCCAAAGAAAGGCAAGAAGAAACAGGAAGAAGAAGAGGATGAAGAAGATGGTGATTCAAAGAAGCTAAGAATGCCTTCAATTGAAGCACTTCTTGGCACTGCTGCTTCAAATGCATCAATCAATGTCTATCAGTACATCAGAGCTCATCAAAATGACTTCGATGATGAAATGGATTCATGCGAAGAATGTGGTGTCTTCGAATCTGTTTTGCATGAAGCATTAATGGGTGGTTCTGTTGAAATTGCAAAAGATATCCTTAATAACTTTGACGGTGTTGATTATCATAACTACTGGGCCGATGACATTGCAAGACATGGTCATATGGAAACCATGCAATACATGGGAAGACACTTCTTCAATTCCTATGATTTGATTACAAACTTTTTGTTGCATCATTTCGTTTACAACTACAGAGTCTTTGGCGAATTGGATCATGAACAATTTGATGAAGGCAACACCCCAACGATGGCTGCAGCTGAGATTGGATCTGCAGAATTGATCGAATTCCTCTTTAAGAAGAAACAGGATGTAAATCAATCAGGTTACGATGGCATAACACCTCTTCATGTTGCTGCAAAAAATGGCCATCTTGAAGCTGTGAACGTTCTTTTGAAACATCGCGCAAAATTCACTACTGACGAAAATGGTGAGACACCAAGGGATTACGCGGAAATGAATGGACATAAGGAAATAGTTGAACTCCTTAAGAAGAAGAAAGTTCAAGATTAATTATTTAAAATTAGAATAAATTATTTTATATATTACTGTTATACTTTAATTTAAATATAGCTCGCTTTATAATAAAGAATAAAAACTGTTACGTGTATGTTTGTGATAATTTGAACTTAAAATATTTGATATATTAACTGAAATAAAACAAATATTAATGCTCTTAGTTCATTTTAATTAGGTGTTTTGATTTAAAATATATTACTATCTCAAATGATCTTTCGAAGGAAAAAAAAAATGATGAAAATAAATAAAATTTCAAAAAGATAGCTATTAATTTGGTATTTTAATAATCTCTTAACAAAATAATAATTTTCTTCAATTACTGAAGGTGAACTTTGATATCTTTCTTAGGGAAATATTGTTGGGCGACACTTGCGAAATGAGAACATTTTTCTACAACAAGTTCAACATACTGGCCAAGTTTATCATTTCTAGATGCAGCAAATTCGCGGAGGAAGAGGCCAATCTTTGCCCAAAATCTTCCATGGGCTTCTGTTGTTGCAAGGCTAGCAACAATGACTAAGAAGAAGTATCCAACGAAAATAATTAAGTTTGTGAATGAAAACTTTGTAATTGCTTGGATAAAGAATGAAATTGTTACACAAACTTCAATAATGGCTGAAACTATTGGAATGTATTGATTGTTAATGTAAGAGCGGAGTTTTGCTACAAATGGACCTTCAACACCCATCCATGGGGCTAAGAAATGAACAAAGAAATGTAAGCTTTCAATTAATGTATTTACAGCATAGTCAAGAACTACAAAATAATTTGTGCTCTCTGTAACAATGAAAAGCAAGCAAAGAATAAACATGTAAAAATCTTGGCACATTAATACTTTTTGAGTTACATTTTGAGGTATTTCTAATTTTGGAGCTACAAATCTAACGATCCTAAAAAGATGGAATGATTCTGCTGCAGAATAAAAAATAATAACTGATAAAATTTCGTTTGCAAAGAAATAAATGATGCAAGTTACAAAAGTAATAATGGATAAAGCTCCAATGACCCATTGGATGAAAGCTTCTGAGTCAATTTGGAAAGACCTTGGATCAGTTTGATCCATAAATATAAAAAATAAAACAAGTCAATTTTTTTATTGCTTCGATTTGCATGCAGACAGAATCTACGAGGAATCTGGGCAATCGGTAAACAGTAATTTCGGAGGTTTTTTTCAAGGAGATCCCATATCGTGGATCTTTTTGGAGTCCAGTGCATTATCTCAACGAGAAATCATCATAATTCAAGATTAACTTTCGTATTTTCTATTATTCTTATGTAATTCGAGTTTTCCTTATTACAAAACGCAAGTTTCCATAAAAGATTCACTATTTCATCAAATTTTTACTATATTTCGGAAATTATCTAAAAAGGTACAAGATTTGAGATCTCTTCGAAAAGCATTTGCGGACTACTGTTCACCGATCACCTGGAAACTTCGAAACGATTTTATTTGTTTGCATTTTGCGGCAATAAAAAAATTACAAAAACGAAAAAATCTCCTCCCGTGTGGATAATTCAAAGTTTATTCGTAGGAATAAATAATATTTGCCATTGTTTGTTCGGAAATTATTTTCACGCAGTTTGTAGTATGAAATCTGATTTCTAAATCTTTTCTTGTCTTTTTAACACATCTTATTCGGCAAGATGTGTTTCAAGACGATACTTGAGAGAGCTATCGTCTGTGTATTGAAATGAATCTGAACGAATCTTCTCATGGAATCTAAGTTCCATATAAACGACAAAGAAATGAGTATTGAACGGGAGGGAAAGGCAAATGCAGTCTCGCTCTGCATATCAAGCCGGCAGCCCACGGGAACAGCTGCCCTCGCGGTCATTTGCTCATTCAAGCTACAACGGAGATGATCATCGGCGGCACACCAACCATAAGTGCGGTCTACATCTCTTTCGCCATTGGGTGTTAAGAGGCTTTGTAGGTTTTTGCATTGTGTTTGAAGGAAAAGAGAGATTATGAGGTGAGTTTCAACAGGAAACATATACAGTAAAGATGTAACTTTCTCGCTGTATCTCTGAGTTTTTGTTGCATTATCAGAAATCTTAAATCTTATGATCAGTCTATAGAGACCAAGGGACGCAGCATATGGGATGTTGCAATGGCCTCTACCACCAAAGAGGGAAACAGGGTGGGAAAGAATAATCGGGTAAGATAAAGAAAGATTAAACAGGATAATGAACAAGGTCTCAGAAAGAACAAAATATGAAACGGAGTAAACGTTTGTATTATCATATGAACTCGTCAATCGGATTGACAAGAGGTTCATTTCTCTTAAATGGTGGAAGGGCTCACATCTTATGATTATCTCATAGAGACTAAGGACCGCAACATACGGGATGTTGCTGTAGTCTCTACCACCAAAAAGGGTTACAGGGTGGAAAAGAGAAATCGGGTAAGATGAAGAGTATCTCAATCTCAACTTTTCCGCAAAAAGGGTAATCAGGCAGAAAAATGAGATTGGGCTTCTTTGAACCAAATAAAATGAAATGATCAGTATATTGGTCGCTAAAGCGGCCGGGATTCCACTTCTTCGCAGGACCTTTATAATGCTTGAGAACGAACAGCGATCAAAAATTGAGAGAATTTTTGCGGCTTTAACGGTTCTCGAATGGCCATCAATGGGACACGCTTTGGGCGAATTTAGGGCTTCTAGGACCGCCACGCCCGGTTTGAACGGTCCCCCGCACTCATACAAGATCAGTGCGAACACTGTATAGGAGGATATCCAAAATGGAACAAGATATCTGATATCCTCGAAAAGTTTTTCCGAATTTCGACTTACAAATCGCTTCAGGGTGGTGTACAGAGCCTGTATGCACGCTATCCAAAGCAAAAAAGTAAAAATCTTCATATCGAAAAAATCTCCTCCCGTGTGGATCGAACACACGACTTCCAGATTAACAGTCTGACACTCTAACCAACTGAGTTAGGGAGGAATTCACATTTAGGATTAAATAGCTGCTTCCCTGATAGAAATTATATATTTTTCTCGAATTTGAAAATTTATCAAGTATATTTCATCAGGTATGTATTATTGCTTTATGCATGTCAAATTGAGCATTATTAAATTTAAGGTTTATATATGTAAATTTTACAAAAATAACTATTTCAAAATTGCCTCTTTATATCAAATAATTAAATAACAGTGGGGTCTTGTTTTTCTGCCTTCATACTTCTAGCGTTGAACATTCTTCTCCTAAATGGAACTTGAGAGATCCTTGTCGAACTATCTTGAAACATTTTTTTCATGAACGGGGATTGTAATTCACTGGTTGATTTAGCTGTTTTAATAACATTAAGTTTCGACATTGGAGATGGTGTGTTAAGCTTCTTAAAGTAAGGCATAGACAGAATTTCTGTTACAGCTGGTCTGTTATTTGGATCAAAGTCTAGGCATTTAATGATTATGTTTCTCAATTCTGTGTTCTCAACAGTAAATACTGGATAGATGCCAGTATTTAAAATCTTCAAAAATGTATTGAGATTAGTAGCGTAATATGGGTAATTTTTGGTGGCCATACAATAAAATGTAACTCCAATGGACCAAATATCAGATTTCAGCGGATCGTATGACTTTTTGCGGAATACTTCTGGTGCCATAAATAGCATTGTTCCTGTATGTGAGGGTGATGAATGAAAATCTTCTGATGATGCATTTATAGTCATACTAGATACCCTTATTCTGCCAAATTTGTCAAAAACGAAGTTAGTTGGTCTAATATCGTTCTGTGACATGTTTTCGTCATGGTACTGCTTTACTGTTAGAAGTATTTCATGACAGTATTTCATTAATTGATCATCGGTAAATTCTGCTTGCTTCTTCAATAAAAAGTAGATATCATTTGGCGAATAATCCTGCAATATGTAGACATAATCTTGAAATTTATAATACGTGTAAAGTTCTATCTCGGGTGTATCTTCAATTTTCTCGATATATTGTAAATCTGTTTGATTAAATCTACTTTCGTGTATTCTTTTCAGGCAGTAATTGAGTTGTGTTTTGGGTGAATAAATAAGGAGCAATGAGCCAAAACAACCCTCTGCGATTGTACTGTTATATTTAAATGAGTGTGCCTCAAAAATAGCAATCTCTTCGTCTTCCATTTTGATTCAAAAAAATGAGTAAAATTTGAAAAATGAGAGGTCAAATATATGACAAATCAGAAGAAAGAGTTATCGATGAAAATAAATTTAATGAAATTCAATTGAAATTAAAGTAAAAGAGGTAGGGCAACGATAGAAAATTTTTGGAAAAAAAGTTCGGAGATCTTAAACGTATCATATTCCCTGCATGGTTTGGTATCTTCCGCCATGCGTTGTGCCAAACATATTGACACTTTCCAATAATTAATTTATGGTATGAGTCACAGAGTTAGATTATAAAAAGAAAGTAAATAATTGCAATTAGAAATCATATATGTCGGAAATCAAATGTTGATGAGCAGAAACCTTTTACTCATCATAAAAGAGATAAATCACTAAAGATTTGTATACATTAAAATTTGATATTTGGTGCTCGAAAACTGTCTGATGGGACTCCTCCAAAATGAACCAATCTATCGCTGAGGACCAAATTAGATGATGTGGATGGTGTATTCTCTAATTCTAACTTAGGAAGAATGGGAACAAAACGAATGACGACAACAACATGTCAAACATAGATTAAATATCTATGAATCAATAAAGTATACGTGCATTGAAGGTGATAACGATCACTTGAGGCTTATAACTCTTTGACTAAATTATGCAATAATTAAATATAATCATTTTTATATTTTTATACTGATAGTAATTAATATACTATCCTGCTTAATAAATGGTATGATCAAATTTGTTTGAAAATTTAATTATGTATATGAAACTATGTCTTCTATATAAAAATCAAAATTTTCGGACGAACCTAGATTGAACCTTTATGAAAATCTATCATTTTTGTTAATTAGGTTAATATGAATCTTTTACATATGTATATATAGCATTGATAGCTTATATAATCATGGTTTATTCCATATTAACATATTTTTTCAGTTAAATTTGTTAATAATATCATGTAACAAATTAATTCAAGATTAGAATGTCTACAAAATGCTAACAAATAAGAACAAAATACGATTTCTCGACTTAAATTTTAATATGGAGTAGTTTTTCGTTTAAATCTAATTAAAAATGAATAAAAACTTATCTTGTACTATTTTCATTCAAAGATTTTAATAATGTAAATCATGCATTTTCATAATTCAGTACAGTTCTTTTTAGAATTAAAGTTGATGAGGATGATATTTGTGATTTAAAATAATTTGTTAATGTTCACCTTTTATTCATCACCTTGTGGTATGCCCTAAAGCAATAGCATTATCAATTCTGCTGAATTGATCAACTCAAAATTCCAAAAAAAATTCAAAATTTCAAAAATGAAATTAAACAATTTGAATTTTCACATGAAAAAATCAATTTCGAAAAAAATTTGGAAAATCAAAGTATTTGATAATTAGTCAAATAATCAATTTACATCGTTTTTACTCATAAAAAACAACTAATTTTTGATTTTGATATCATATTTGATAAATACTCATTCCAGAGTTGACGTAATGTATTAATTATTGTTAGAGATATTGCTTTCGCAGCAAAATTCTTATTTCATGAAAGAAAAAAAAATGATTTTATTCCAACAAAAACAAGTAAACAGATGAATGGAAACGTACTATATTTTCATAAATGTAGTAATCAGCGTGTCAGCTTTTGTTTATCATGTTCGAGTCAAAATGTATTAACTTGTAATAAGAAATATTCGAAGATTATATGAAGTATTGAGCATTCTTTGTAGAAATATTTGTAATTCATTACTAACATATATAATAAAGTTGTTTTTTTCCTTATTGCAATAATTTTGTCTGATTTTAATAACTTTTCATGTATACGAGTTGTGTGAATATGCATCATAATATGCGTAAATATACTTATTTGCGACGAATAATGTGGTTGCATAATGGAGGTGCTAAATTTTGATTTTTAATATGGGGCTTTGGTATGTATAATCATGTTCTTATCTCAACGTAGGAGTATTGTGCAATATGATTAAAATTTACGAGGTTGATCTTAAATTGAATAATTCTGGAGTATAAATCACAATGCAGCTAATTCTATGTTAAAGATAGATACAGATTGTAGTAATCAATTAGGGAGTACAAATTCATTCTTTCATTTCTGTCGTATTGAGCAGAAAGGAAGAGATCATAACCCTAGGAAAAAAAGCCCAAATTTGTCACTTTTCATAGTACGTTAAACTCAATTCGCTCGGCGAATGCCGAGCACACGTACTCATCATTCAACATAATATTCTCATTCTTTGGTTATTATAGTGCCAGACAACACAAGATTTCAAAGAATTACTTGAGTTTTCAATTAATCTTAATCCGATTTTAGATTTATCGAGAACTCCATTATCACAATCACATACTTCAGTGCGGTAACTACAATTATCCATATACAGAAGGAAGTTCTTTTCGAACAACTCATTTGGAGTCTGTTTTGGAAAGAACTTCTTTCTGTCCGACTTAATTTCATAGTTCCTGATCAACCAAAAGACAGAAACCACACACTATCTACTTAGGAAAGGAGTTCTTTCTAAATCTTCCTTAAATTGAGATTTTACGAGAGATAACCCTTCTATTGCACTTAAAAATGAACATTTTGATATCTTTAGTATCACACATGGTCATATATAGTATTTCATCTACATGAATACATTCATCTTTCGAAGTCTCTCATTAAATGGGAGGCTTCGAAAGATGAATCGTTTTATTCATACAACTTTAAATCTCGAACACATTTAGAGAGTGAGTATATCATTTTATTCTTGTTTTGAGTTTATTCTGATTCAAAATTGCAGTGAAAACAGAAGTTCACACATCATATCTGAATGTGAGCTCATCTATACTTATACGATCTCAATACCTCCACTCTAAGCATAAGAGGTGAAGTTATATAAAAATTATCAGATGCGTTGAAGTCTCAAAAGTATTGCCTGAATGCTTGTTTCATATTTGTCCAAGTAGTTTCAATGAATAAATGTATTGTTTTTTATAATTTCGATTTATTTTTAGAAAATATTCAATATAAACCTTTATTGTGTTATTTACATCTCATAAATTCTCTGTCTAAATCATATAAAAGCGCGTTTTACCCCTATGAATCAAGAAATTCATTCAATATTCATGGTATATTTATTAAATTTATACGATTTACTAATAATCAATATTATATCCTCATAAATAGCAATATATTTTGGTAATCTATGATAATCATATACAATATTTGAAATCAAATTTTCATTAGTTTAAGTTCCTTGTTAATAGTAAACCATTATATTTATTACTAATAATAAAATCTATGTGTCGTATTGAAATTCAATAAAATTACTTATTCGGTCCAAAAAAACAAATTAGATAAAATTTTTCTTTTTTTATGTAATTTTTGTTTTTCTTTTTTCTCAAGATCCTAAGTTATGTTCTAACTTTTGACATCATATCCTATCATGCTAGGCTATATATTATAGCATATCCAAAAGGCAAGGAAATCTATCAGAGAAGCCTTTTTGACCTATCGTTGCCCTACCTCTAAAGTAAATTAAGGAGTTTAAATAATTCGATATTATACATATACAAGGGTAAAATGGTCTTAAAAAATTCTTTTGAATTTTTTTGAGAAGTAATATTTTTAGTAAATTGAAAACTGTAAATATGAATTGGTGAATAAATGATCGCAATGCTCAAAAACAATCTTTTCAATTTTTAACGTTTTAATCACAATTGCAACCTCAGAATTTTCAACTTTCACAATTTAAAAACATCGCCGGACTCTCAAAAATAGTCAAACATATTTTATAATCAAAACAGTTACAAATGCTATTTTGACTCTCAAAAATATATCTACGTAGTGTATACACTTAGAATATGATATTTATTTTTAAAACCGTAAATAAGAAATTCAGTAGTAGGATATGACGGGTTGTGTGACTTTTTTTGTAAACGTAAGAATTCATACAATATTGAACGATTTTGTATCATTTTTTTTAACATATGAAGTAAAAAATGTATGATTCTTACGGTTTTTATTCTTACGTTTTTGAATAAATCAAGATTTAAAAATGTTCAAAATTGTAAGACATTTACACTCAGCCCATACATAATGAAACAAAAGAAGTTATATATAGATGATGTCAGCTATTCCACGATTAATTAAACATTGTTTAAATCATGAATGGAATCAATGGAGTCATAATCAAAGACCTCATAAACGGGTAAAAAGAAATTAGAAACTAATGATTATTTGAATTTATGAAATCAATTATTTGATTCATTCTTTCTTCAATCTCTTCTATTCTTTTTGTTAAATCATCTATTTTCATTAATGAGGTGATTCTTGATTGAGGAATAGATTTCAAACTAACCACCCCCTTTATTTTTGAAATTTTGAATCCATCAACTTTAAACATTTTATTCAATTTACATGTTGTCAATTCTTCAAATAATTTTTTATTATTAGCATAATAGTCATTAAATTCTTCAACAGATGAAAAAATTTTTGTTTCAGTAATTGGTTTAACAACGTTTATTTTTTGTTGAACATTTTCACTTTCATTTATTTCTTCCTCCTCTGTTCCATTTATTTTTAAAATTGGTTTCATTTATCATTGAAGGTGATACTGATTCATCTTATTGGGCAATCGCTGGCGATCCAAGTCTTCCTAACACTCAAGCATTTCAAGCAATTGTTACCGATAAACAATTTTATGATAAAAACATTTTCAAATTCGCACCATTTGATTTCTTCTGTTTTGATGAGAAATTTAAACCTAAATTAAAGAATAAAGCTGAAGAAAAAGCACATGAGAAGAAGTTATTGGGTTTAGCAATTGAGAAACAAGGTGATAACATGGTTGCTTTATGTCCTAAGTGTTATACATCATTCAACGGTTCAATTGATGGAAGTGATTTTAAAAAGATTGCACAAAAAATGAAAGGTGTTAGTTTAAGACAAAATAAACAATTAACACCTAAAAATTATTTGGATATAATAAATGATAAATTGATATTTGATGGTCA